CGATCAACACTTTCGTTACTCGTTATCATTCATACTTTTCCCCGTTCGTTGTTTTGTTTTTTTTCATCAACAGCAACTCAACATCACGAAATCCAGACATTCGTTCTTTAACAACGAAGCGTAGCTTAGGATTTGCTAACGAAATATTGATCCTTAATAACGAAATCAACCAGTCCTCCTCTGTCACACTTCGTCAACAGAACCCATCGACTCCAAAATCCAACAGATCCTAAACTAACGAACTCAAACTTTCGAAATTTCAGACCAAAATCAATAGCAACCCAGTCAATCCAGCAAAATCTAACACCAACCCACAAAATCCAAATCGACTCAGGCTTCGATTGTTGACTCCAATTCACCAAACCAACATCGAAATCGATTTTAAGAGTCGAATAAAACCCATTTACTGTGTTCGACACCATGAACTCCAAACCAAGCAAATTTTGTCTTCAATTAGCCACCATTCACTTTCAAAACCATTATCGACATCATAAATCTGTTCGTCATTGAACAACCCTTCCCAGTTCGTTTTCAAGAAAGTCAATGTCTGTTCATCCCCAAACCATCGACTTCAACATCGTCTTCATCCATCTGTTCAATTCCAATTCACATGTTAAAATTATCAATCACATATCAACATCCAACACATGATTTCGAAATCAATTTACCCATACACATCGAAACCCAATTCAATCGTCCTGTAGATACAAATTCAGTCGAACAAAGTTTGACTTCAAAAAGTCAACCCCAACTCTTCGTTCTCAGATGATGAAATTGATCTCCAAGTATGACCTCCAAAAACAGTCAATACTCATTCGATGCCAAACTCCAAATTTCAAGTAGATATGCGAACTCAATCTGTTTCCAAACCAACGATTTCAAATACAATCGACATACAAACCTACTTCTTACATCCATTTGTTCTTCAAGATCGGCAAATATGATCATCAGTTTTGACTTTTTTGGAACAACTTCCAACTTATGACCGTGAATTGCAAATCGTATCAACATATTTCGTTAACAAAAAATAAGCAGAAATAGAACATTTGATGAAATCGATTTAATAAAATGATTAACACAATCTCGATCTTGAATCAAAATCGAACGTGTATGTGAAAAATTAATAGTCAACAAATCCAAAAGAATCAAATTTATCTCAAGAAACTGGATCGTGGAGTAATCAAATATGTTCAAAATCAATGAAAGAAGCGATGAGTTTGAAATAACAAAGCTCAATGTAAAAATCGGATTTCTATAAGCCATAAACAAACACCGATTTATGACCAGAATGATGAACAGTAACAGGATTATGAAAATGGATCACAAATTTGGGCTAATGAACAGTAACTGATTGTGAGACTGGATTGGACTCGAATTTTGGATCAAAATGATTAGAAAACAAGATTTGGCTTGATCTATGAAACAAAATAGACTGGATCTACAATTGGGCTTGAAACAAATTCGATCCAACTAAGACAAAACGATCAAAAATTCAAGAACATAGTGCACGAATCAACGAGATTTAGAGAGATCATAAAGAGACTCACCATAAATGTTCCAATTGTGATGATTGTAGCAAAACCGAGAATCGTTTCTTCAAAAAATCATGTTGATATTCGAAGACCCGCTCTGATACCAATTGATGTGAATTACGAACATTAGTTTGGCTTGCGGAATTAAAGAACGCACAATGAACATGGTGATTTCGGTGTTTAAAAGATGCATTCGATTATGTATGGTGTTACAAAAAGGGATCTAGATCTAAATCTACATAAATAACATCTCCATAAGTGGTATGAACCCACCTTATATAGAGGTGTTTACATGTCTCTCTCTCACTCTCTATCTCATGTCATAAGGCTAATGCACCACATGCAAGTGGGTCTACAAAAGTCAACCCATTTACAAAGTCATACATGGATAACTTTGTACCCAACAAAGAAAATGAGTAAGAGTCTCGTACCAAGCATGGGGAGCTTGCTTAAGGCCATACACAACTTTTTGGAATTTGTAGCAGTAGTTCGAATAAACTGAATTAACAACACCAGGAGGCTGTTGAAGGTAGACTTCATTGTCGAGTTCACTGTTGATGAAGACACTTTTGACATCCATATGGTAAACCTTGAAGGCCTTGTGAGCTGCATATGCAAGAAAGATATGAATGGCTTCAAGACGAGCATCACGTGAAAAAGTCTCGTTATAGTCTAGACCTTCAATCTGTGCGAATCTTTTGGCCACCAATCTTGATTTGTTTCAGATGATGACTCCTGCGTCGTTGAGCTTGTTTCGGAAAACCCAATGAGTTCCGACAATTAGGTGATCCTGAGGAGGAGGTACAAGAGTCCATACTTGATTTCTATCAAACTCAGCTAGCTAAGTTTCATACTAATTACACGCAACCCAGGATCTAAGTTTCATACTAATTACAGTTATCCTATGAAATATTTAACAAGAACGAAGAACTACATACCTCTTTAGCAGTCAAATACCTCCGAGCTTGAGACCTCGTGCATAACACCTTTTTTAGATGGAAATGACTCAAACTAGAATCCCTCTCTTAGTTCACACCTAATGAACTCAAAAGATCAGAATCAAAATCAACTAGGAGGGGACAATCTGACTAAGAGTACTTACACACTATGGAGGGAAAAAATCATGAAGAGTCAAGCCAAATGAGAAAAGAAGAATGAATCCCAAAGGCCCTATTTATAGCCTTGGATATCTTCCTAGGTTTTGTACTCAAACACATGTGGGATGGAATACAATTTTCGAAAATTCCTCTTATCTAAGAGGATTTTCGTCCACCTTTATCCCATATAGGGTTCTGGAATATTCCTAATTAATCAACTATTGATTAATTGATATTTAACCCTTTAATTAATCTAATTGTCAATAATTGCCATATTGTTTTCTAATTAATTATTAAACCATAATAATTAATAAACTAATTCCTCCTTTTGTTTAGTCTACTTAATTTGAGCATTGAGGTCAACCCAAGAAGACCCTGTTATTATAAAAATATTATCAATAGTTAATGACATTGGATACCCTTTCCGATAGTTTTAGCAATCATGCTCTTGATGATATTACTTCAAAATAGAATGCTCTAATGAAAAGTAGAACAATGATGTCATAATTCATTAAACTTTTTAGATAAGATGCATTTTATATGCCCTTGGGATACACGACGTAACATCATTTCATGGGCTTGATGTACTGAGATGGCCTTAGGAAAGGCATGGTTACACCACAACCCTTTGCATGGACGGAGTCCCCGAAAAAGCTAACATCGACAATGAACTCCCACAACAGGCTCTCGCTCACTCCTGCATAAAGATTAGTAGTTTTTTTAAAAGGTTTGAAATTTTGATAATTTCCTTTATATATATATATATATATATATATATATATATATATATATATATATATATATATATATATATATATATCTGTGTGTGTGTATATATACACACTAGCCCTTTATCCGTGCTAAGCGACGGATGCGGATAATTTCTTTCAGAAATTAGAGACAATTTTTTTTGTGCAAATGAGAGTGGGATGTGGTGGGAGGGCTAGAGTTTTCTTTCGTCAGTTGTGATGTGATGAGAGAAAGTGAGAGTAGCAAATGAGAGAGTGCGGAACGAAGGAAAAAGGTGATGGTTCATGCATCTTTATCGCCAATTGTCATTTTCAAAGTACATTTATTGGATTAACATATAAAAATATTAGTTTAAAATTTTTTATGGATATTTATTAATACTTTAATATTAATCTTATTGTTTAGACCGTTTTGAATAATTTTTGTAAAATGATTATGCTTATTATGAACTTTGATAATGGAATTTGTGAAGTTTTAAATAAAATTTATTAGTTTGTTAAACATATCATTGGTCTTTCTTAAAATGGATATATTTTTACCTTATTGAATTGGAGTGGATTTAGCTAAAACTTTTTTTTATCTGAACTTGTTTATCAATAAAAATGTTTTCAGTTTGATTATAAGAGTTTGATTTATAGACTTGCATTGTATGAGTGACAAAGTATATGGTTATTATATGAATGTACATGACTTTGCAAAGAATGATTACTCTTTAGCAATGGGGACATGTTGGAAAGGGGTTTACCTTTCAATGTGGTGATCAAAAGGATGTTTTACTTCCTTGAGATTGTAATTGGGATACTTATGGCTTTGTTAGAAAGGCGTACTTTCTAATAAAGATTTGGATTGAAAAGAGAAATGATTTCTAAATTTAAGAAATACATTAGGAATTGTTACTTTCTAATGAATAGTATCGTGTAAAAGTATGTGTTAAATATATTATAGTTTTACTTGTTATATATAGAGATTGTCTGATAAGTGTTTTGTTAATGTTGTGTATTTCATAATCAGGTACAAAGAAGTAATGGGAGTTCTTTTAACAATATAATGATCATGGACAGGATGTAGTCTTTTGTATTGTACAAATATGTATTTGTTGCTTCTATTTATGGTTGTGATATTTATGTACCATTTTTTGTTTGTTTTGGGAATCAATAATTTGGTTTTTGTTAAACCATGTTTTGAATTATATTGTAAAATATTAATGAAAATTCCCGAAATTATTACTAAAATGTTTCATAAAAGAATGGGTGTTACACGTTAACGCGACTTCCAATAACAAAGCAATTGAGTTTTAATTGAAAAGTTATCAATAATGTTTGACAGGGGCAAACACTTCCATATAAGGAGTATGTCTGACATTGCCACCTTATTGTGAAAGATGGGTCGATTAATAACGAGTATCATGTATAATATTTACAGAAGAGGGTTTGTCACACCCCCAAACCGGAGCGACGGAAACGTCCGGGGGTGGATGACTTCATGTTAAGTATCACAACACATGCATCATAGTAATCAAAGTACAACAATCATTGCATTAATAAAATATAAGTTTTACATATGTATTTAAGTCATTATATATATGACATCAAAAGTTATATAACAAAAGATAGAAGATGTGACTCTATACTGCTCCGTCTTCTCAAAATCCCGGGGATTTACCTGTCTACTGATTCCCTGAGAATACAAGTATTTTGAAAAAGAGAGTATCAACATTTAAATTGGTGAGTGGATAAGTATTTATGTTTAAAAGCTTGTTTTTTGTTCCATGAAATAGTGAGCATGTTTACTGTTACAGAAAATCCAATATTTTCTATTTTAACTGATAAGTAGTTTTAATGCCATAAAACCAAATTGTATAAGTGTTATTGTTGTACTATATATTAGTGTACATAGTTTTAGTTCACAATAAAACAATAAAAAAAATTGTTTTCAATAATGTTATGTTTTTCTTTGTTTTAAACCGGTATGTTGTATTTGTACCCCGTTCGTGCATAATCTGGTACGTTGTATTTGTACCCATTAAATGCAAACCCGATACGATGTATTTGTACCCTGTACGTTGTATTTGTACCCCATTAATGCAAACCCAATACGATGTATTTATACCCCGTTCGTGCAATAACCTGGTACCTTGTATTTGTACCCCATTAATGCAAACCCGGTACGATGTATTTTTAATATACTTAAAATGTAAAGTATATGTAAAGAATTTTGTACGAGAGTATATATATAGTTAAACCCTATATACTTGACTTGTGAAAATTGTGTGAGATTTTCATAAATTATACATATTATAATTTATATTTGTGTTCTGCTTGGTATGTAATATTCATGAAAGTACCCATTTGCTCGGCATGTTACAAAGGGTAATGAATTTGATTGAAATAACTTTTATATTCATATATATATATATATATATATATATATATATATATATATATATATATATATATGATTTTTTGGCAAAATATAAGTTTAAAAGAATTTTTAAAACATTTTAAAGAGTTTGACAATATTTAAAAGAGTTTCAGTAACTTAAAAGTCGGTTTAGAAATGTTTAGAAATCATTTGTTTATAAACACAATATTCTTGTGTTAGACTTGTATCCCCCCCCCCCCTTAAAATAATATGAAGAATAGTAAAAATATAGGGGTATGAACTCACATTTTGTGAGTTTCCGGTTGTAGATACAATGTAATCGAGCTAAATCCACAAGTTAAAACTCGTGATAAAGACCGAATCCTAATTTATATTAACATAAAATGAAGTATAAATTAGATAATCTAATGAAGTTTAAAGTGTTAAATAACACTTAATTATTGTAAAATGACTTACAATAATCCTTAGAATAGTGTGTGAGTGTTTTTCGTATTCTTCGTGTTCTTGAAGAAAGCTAGTGATTTTATGAGTTTTCGGGCCAATACTTGAAAATTGGAAAGTGTTTTTGCAAAGAAAACAAGATCAATGGATCATACTTGCAAGATCTTCAAGAATAATCAAGGGTTTTCGCATGGAAATCAAAGAAATGAGAGGTTTCGCATGTTCTTGAGAGGAGCGAGGTGTTTTCGGTTTGATTCCTTAAGAGAAAAGTTGGAGTTTTCGGATGTAATGTGTAAGAATGAAGGAAGTTTTTGGTTTACACACACACACACACACACACACACACAACACACACATATATATATATATATATATATATATATATATATAAAGTATAAAGGGTGGCAGTTAATGATTCTCGACCGAGAACACAAACCGAGGAAGGGTTTTCAGTTGTGAACTCATACCGAGAAGATAAGGTTGCTGAAACCGAGAAGATAAGATTGTTGAGTCGGCCTCGTACGTTTGTGGTCCGAGGAGTTTGCGGCCGTAAACGTAGCTTGCTGCCTTCGGTTTGCGGTCCGAGGCTAGCTGTCCGTTCTTGCGAAGGTTTTTCTGTCCGAGAGAAGAAAGAAGAAGAAGGTTGCGAGGGTTCTCGGTCCAAGCGAGGATCCTCGGTTTCTTGGATTTTTCAATTTCTAAATTCTACAACACTTTTACTAAGTGTTTATATGTATCAAAAACATTAATTTAACTTCATTAAATTAATTAATCAATAAGTTTGACTTTAATTTGATATTTTTGACTTTTGTTGACTTTTACAAGATAGAAAATAACGGGTTGTCATATTATCCCCCCGTTAAAGGGAATTTCGTCCCGAAATTAAGACTATAGAGATACAGTAAGACTAGGGAAAGAGATGCGGATACTTTTGTTTCATTTGATCCTCCCGCTCCCAAGTGAATTTAGGTCCCCGCTTTGTGTTCCAGCGAACTTTCACTATCGGGATACGACTTTGTTTAGTTCTCTTTACTTCCCTGTCTAGGATTTCTACTGATTCTTCCATGAAGTCGAGGCTCTCGTTTATCTCGATTTCATCGAAGTGGATAAAAAGAGTCACGTCGATAAGCATTTCTTTAGGTTAGATACGTGAAAGATAGGATGTATGTTACTGAGTTCTTGAGGTAGTTTGAGTTTCTAAGCTACTGTACCGATTCTAGCAAGAATCTTGAACGGTCCGATGTACCTTGGATTTAGTTTTCCACTGTTTCTGAAGCGTATCATGCCCTTCCAGGGTGAGACCTTCAACATGACGCGGTCACCAACCTGGAATTCCAAGGGTTTTCTTCTCTTGTCAGCGTAACTTTTCTGTCTGTCTCTGGAAGCTTTAAGTCGTTCTCTAATCTGTACTATCTTCTCAGTAATTTCTCGAATGATCTCCGGACCAGTGAGAGTACTGTTTGGAACTTGACCTCTAGCCAGTTGCGTATCACCCACTTCAGCCCAACACAGAGGTGATCTGCACTTGCGACCATAGAGGGCTTCGAATGGAGCAACTTTAATGCTAGTATGGTGATTGTTAATGTACGAGAACTCGACTAGTGGTAAATGAGTATCCCATGCTTTACCAAAGTCGTTCACACATGCTCTCAGCATGTCCGTCGTTTGTGGATGGTAACTGTACTTAAATTTTCAATCCCTTTATATGAAGTATAAAGGGTGGCGGTTAATGGTTCTCGGCCGAGAACACAAGCCGAGGAAGGGTTTTCGGTTGTGAACTCATACTGAGAAGATAAGGTTGCTGAAACCGAGGAGATAAGACTGCTGAGTCGGCCTCGAGCGTTTTCGGTCAGAGGAATTTGCGGTCGTAAACGTGGTTTGCTGCCTTTGGTTTGCGGTCCGAGGCTAGCTGTCCCTTCTTGCGAAGGTTTTCGGTCCGAGAGAAGAAAGAAGAAGAAGTTTACGAGGGTTCTCGGTCCAAGCGAGGATCCTCGGTTTCTTGGATTTTTCAACTTCTAAATTCTACAACATTTTTACCAAGTGTTTATATGTATCAAAAACATTAATTTAACTTCATTAAATTAATTAATCAATAAGTTTGACTTTAATTTGATATTTTGACTTTTGTTGACTTTTACAAGATAGAAAATAACGGGTTGTCACAGGTCCGATATATTAGACTATCCACACAAAAGATCATTATGTTTAAAAAGTACATGAAAGAACTTGGTGTGGAATCCAATAAATTTTTCTCTAATGATTGTCCGAACACAGTGAAACTCAACGTACTACTTGTTGAAAAGTGTCATGGAGATACATAGTGTGTTACCTAATACTTAGTTGAAGGGATATCGTTTAAAATAATCATAAAATATAAGTATTTATTTTAATATTTAATAAGGAAAAATTATAAATTAAGTATAAATATGTTACAAAATGATTAATATATAATAAATATGGTGAAAATCTAGAGATATGGCAAAAATGAAAAGATTAGAGCAAAATATGGAATATACAGTGAAAAAATTTGAAGTTGCCTTAATACACGAGGTTAGCGCTGCAACCGATAAGGTATAGCGCCGCGAAGAAGACTTTTACTTCGGGAAGAATCTACGAAGATCACGTTTAACGCCGCAAAGACAAAGGCTTAATGTCGTTAAGTTTTTTTTTCTATAAATATGAGATTTTCACATCCCATTTGGGTGTGCAGAAAAGAAACATATTTTCTTACGAAAATAAACCTTTTTATCGTTTAAAAGGCAAAGGAAGTCGAAGAAGGAGTACAATTGAAGAATTATTGAAAAAAACTTGAAGAATTTATTAGGTTTGCAATGTTTAGCATTTTTTTTTATGTTTTATTTTTGTTTTTCTGTGAACATGAGAGACTAAAAATCTTCTTTTCTACTTAGATGTAAATGAACCGAAATACTATGGTGTATAATTTGATTTGAAAATATAAAATTGATTATTAATTATTTTTTGGATTAATTCTTTACCTTACTTGTTAAAATTAATATTTTTATTGTTTACAATTGAATTACATGTAACTTAAAATACAAATATTATTATTGTAGCTTGAATCTTAATAATTTTGAAAATAATTTGTTAAAACTAATGATTTAACCAATCTTGTAAGTTAAAGTAATATTAATTTGGCATTTGGCATTTAAAAAAAACATTAGTTTAACTAACTATACTAAGTTTACTTTTATGAACAATAAATATTAAACAGTAACTCAGTTAAGTAAATATTAAACAGTAACTCAGTTAAGTTTGTTTTTAGGTTCTAATTTTATGACCATTAAATTAGTTACTCCTTGATCATTAGTATTAGTAACTAGGTCTTAATTTCTAATCATCTTATCTATATCTATAATTGGTTTATAAATTCATTGCACTATCAATAAAGTCAACATAGGAAAAAGGGATTGAAAATTTAAGTAGAAGTGCTTCAATATTATTATTTTCATTCAATCTTTTTGTTACCTATAATTGGTTTATAAATTCATTGCACTATCAATAAAGTCAACATAGGAAAAAGGGATTGAAAATTTAAATAGAAGTGCTTCAATATTATTATTTTCATTCAATCTTTTTGTTTGCTTCATGTTTTGAAGTTAAGTTTAAACACAAAACTCCTATTTTATTTTCCGTTTTAGTTAATTTAATATGTTATTAGACATATATGTTCTCCGAGAGTTCGACAATCTTATTACCGCAACTATACTATACTCGACCGACCAGATTCATTTCATGTGTACGTATTGCTTCATGAGTTTAAATCTTGAATATTTTTAGTATAAAAATAGCACACCGGTAACTTATTATTTGCTATTCTTTTATTTATGTCTTTTCCCTCAACATTGTTTTGAATTTTTTTTCTCAAACTTTGAACGATCATAATTCTTTCATACGAGCATTGAATGATCTGATTTTTTCGCAAGTTGTAGCCCTCTGCTTTGGCTACAATTTTGTTTCAAAACAGTTGAATAGGTTAAAAAATAACCGAGTTACACAGCTCTAAACAGAGACTATTAGGGTTGAATGGTTTTTTAGCATTGTTTATAATTTTTTTCCCAACTTTAAACGATCATAACTCCTTCGTAGCGGCTTGAAATGAGTTGATTTGGTTGTAGTATTTTGTTTTGGTTACAATCTAAGTAGAAATATAATTTAATTTTCTCTCTTTTTTTGTGTTAGATCTTTCGTTTGGATGTGATTTTAAAGCCTCGGTTAAAGAATATTTTCGTGTTTGCAAAGGTGTAATCGAGTTTCTTGAAAAGTTCAAGACTAAAAGGAGCTTGTGTCAACGACTTCAAAACCGTTGGCACAACGTTTTTTAGAGAGATTTTGGATCTAAAAACACGTATACATGATCAGTGAACAAAACTCATATTTTGTTTAACGGGTAAAGAAATGTACTCCAAATATGACAAGTATTGGGGTGATATAGAGGAGCTAAACGACTATGGGTGTGTTTGGCACGGAGCTTTTGGGAGCGTTTGAGAGCTTCTAGCTTTAACGTTTGACAAAACGCTCTGTTTTGAATAGAAAGTCTCGTTCGACACTACAAGCTTCTAGCGTTTAGTTTAAACAAAACGCTCCAAATCCAAATGTTACTTCATGTAGCGTTTAACAAAACGCTACAAGCTACCTATTAATTTTGCCGAACACGCCCTACTTGTTTTTTTTTTGCTGGTATATTGGATCCGCAAATGAAGGTTGAAAACATAAAAGACGATATCACGAAATTTATTTCGTGGCAACTGAAAACATATGATAGCAAGTAACAAAGACAAAAGTAGAAAAAAAACCTTTCAAAAAGGTTAACCAAAAGGTTGAACGGAATGGGTTAAAAACCAACGCGCAAGGTGACTTGGCATAGCCGAGTCATGCGTGAGTGAAGGCTAACACCACCCCCATGCATCGTAAATGGGATTTCTCGTGAGTGCAGCTACGAGCGTTTACAAAGTAAATAGAAGGTTTTGACATTTTTTATGTGTTTTTGAGATTAAAAAAACTAGTGGTGGGTGTTTCTTTATGTGAGTAAGGATTAGTAAGGAAGTTGGGGTGAGATGATTTACTTTTTGAGTAAGAACATTGCAACTCACTACTTATAGCCTTAGGCTCATCCGTATGGGTTCTCCATTGCATGGAGGATCCTACTTGGCACCCATTTACCAGTGTTAAGGGTTTTAAACACCACCCAATGTCATGTTAGGCTAAGGGGAGTGGTAACACTCCTAACACCATGTCACATCATCTTTTTTGGGTGCCACATCATTTTTCTCTCTAACCTTCTAATTCTTAGAAATTGGTAGGGAGTGGTAACACTCCAAACATTTTATTTTTTTTTCTTTTTTCAAATTTAATGAAAAGGGGAAATAGCAAAAGGATTGGGTTAAAATACCTTTTTTTAATTAAAAAAATATGAAATTTACATATGCAGCACACCACTTTCTTTCCGACCAATCACATTATACCATTTTGTTCTTTCTCTTCTCGCTATATACATAACGATTCATTCACAGCGACCCCCTTAGCAATTGTTAGAGGGTGGTGTTCAAAGGGTCTTAGCGAGCTTAACGAGTGGATTTAGCGTGTCCACTCCTTTTAGTCTTATGTTAAGATATGCTGAGGGCTCAATGTGGGTGAGAAATGCTTCATCCAATCAGCTTTCAGATTTTTTTCCCTCTTAAATATGGTGTGGTTGTGTGGTGGGTAATTCCTAGTAAATATAATATGGTGTAGAGGAAGATATGGCATGTGAGATAAAAAAAAATGTGTTAAATGGAGGATCCATGCCCACTAGGCTTAGAGTAATTAAAGATTAAAATAAATGAAATAACGATGTAACAATAATTTTGAGTTACAAATAAATTTAGATCCAATATTAATATTAATATGAATGCATGTTTTTATTTTTCTATTAGAAATATTAATTAATTTTTTTTAATGATTCATCAAAAAAAAATATATCTTCTTGAGTAGACTCCAGTGTATACGGTATAATTTTAATTTGTGTATAGATTATCAAACTCTTTTGATATACCATGAAAGTAAATACATGCTTAGAAAAACTCTTTTGATATACCAAGAAAAGTTTACATTGAATGGGGAATGAAAATGATGTTTCTGAACATTATAAAAGATTAAAGAAATATAAAATAAGTAACTGTATTCTTGTCTTGAAAAACTAAAAACAGACATCAAAGGAGGTTAAGCTATGAAAAGGGGTCAAGTGGAATGAAAAAACATAAAAATAATGGAAGCATAAACAAATAAAAATCAAGAGAGACCAACATCCTCCTCACAAACCAAACCCAAATTAACTTTCATTCTTCATACGTTCTTGATCTAATCAAGAATCAAGAAGTAATAATAATAGTAATAATAATAATATTCCAAGAATCCCATGAACAAAATGAATTAAAGAAAGTTACCTTTCCAAAATCAATGTTCTTCTAGCTAGCTGCTCTTTCTTGGCTTGCTTTTTCTTCTGCTTCTTCTTGGTTGATCTTGATGAGAAGTAGTAGAAGATGATGTCGCTTCTCTTTTGACCAATTCTTCATTTGACTTTGCTTTCTTTGACTCGGGTTCTCCCTCAGAATCTTGTTGACTTTTTTCTTCTTTTGGTTCTTTGACTTCTTCTTCTTCTGTTTTCTCCACAATCTTTCTTGGCCTCCCTCTCTTTCTTTTAGCAATTTGTTCTCCCACTACCGATGATGATTCTGCTATTGCAACTGATACCTCCTTTGTTTTCTTGAGTATCTTCTTCTTTCCCATCTCCCAAAACCCTAATATCACTATCTTTGTTTCAAAACCAAATCATTGATCTTAAAAAACTCACAACCCCACAAGAAAGATTCAATCTTTTTCGATACTCACTTGGAAATATCAAAGTAGAATCATGAACACGTACCTTCCTCTCTCATTCAAATCATCAAGAAAATCTTTAGCGCATAAAGATTAATCTTTATGTTGCAAATTAAGCAATTATGAAGGTTTGAATCTGAAAGAGAAGGGGATGTAGTTGAAATTATGTTATGATAAGTGGAGATAGTGAAACGACTACTGCTACCCCATCCTTATTCCTTAGTATCGATTTAGTGTTTCTTTTGCTTTACTTTATTTGTTTCTATTAAATTTCATATAATTTCTTCACATCTGCTGTATATGACCATCTGTGTTTTGTATATTTGCATATCACACCCTTTACCTAAGTAGATGCCTTTTTCAGTCCATTACGTTTGTTCATGCAAAACGCCTTTTAAGTTAATATATGAAAACATTTCAAAGAATATGTTAAAGATAGTTAGAAAATATTGTATTTTTCATGGTTTCGGACTTGTGTAGCTTTGCCCTTAGTAGGTAAGTAAGTTGGTTGGTTGCTTGGTTCTGACTATTGGGACTCAGGTGAACTACATCTATCAATGACATTATCAGGTTCTTCTTAGCTGTAGTCTCACTTCTCTACTATGGGCTCTTTGTTACTAGTCAGTTCATCAAGTTCATCAATTGAAACATGCAACTAAGTATTTGTATTACATGTTACATGACATTCTAGTTGGCAAGGTATGTGATTCTAGTTGTTAAAAATCAAACTTTTGGTGATTGGACAAACATATACCTTTCTTCCTTAGATAATAAACCTTATGACCTTTTCAAGGTTTCATTTGGTTTTCAAAACCTATAATATTTATATTACGTGTTACATTAATGTATTATATTATTTAACCATATATATAAAAAAACGTAACATTTTGTTATAAATTTCGATATAGTAATATTTTGGAAGGTAATTATAAACATTAGACATAATTTGAATGTTATAATATTTTTTAATTATTTTAATCATGAAAAAACATACTCATTTATCTTGCAAGAGACATAGTAGGCGACACATAACTAACCATGTTTCGAATTATGAATTGTTAGAGTATATAGTTGTATTTTACTTTCTTTTCGCCTTTTTTGTGACAACTTTTTTTAAATGTCCTTTTTGGTTGTAGAGGTATAGTTAAGGGTACTTTTTGCCAAATCTTTAAATTAGATGGGCTGGAATTGTAAAAAGATGGGGTCTGACAGGAGTTAGTGTCTCAGTCTGACGTATTCTGTCGTTGCATCGCGGCTTTCGAGTCCGTATAGCTGTAGCTGAGTTGGCGCACCCTTTCTGAATATTATTATTTAATTTATTTAATTATTTAATTTATTTAATTCAGTGGCTTGAATATTCCATCGAAGGTATTTCTTGTCTATGAGTTTGCACTCTATACAAGTCTAGATAGCTTGATAGATGGTACGATTTTTATGCCACTGCTTGGCTCAAAAGAGGGCAGGGTGCACCTTCTTGAATACTCGTGTTAGAAACACGAGTTGAAGAGCATGTACTCACTAGCTATTAACCTTAATTTTTTCCAAACTTCATACTCTAATGAAATATTCTCTAGATTTGTCTTTGTAGATTATGAATGTACTCTATTGGACTGAAATAAGCGCAATAAAATAATACTATGTGCTGCTAGGGCACTTCTTTACCTTCACCAATATGGTACATTTAGGATAATACACACAATGTCAATCTTCAAAACTTTCTTTTGGATGGAAGTTTGGACCCAAAATGTCATATTTAGGGATAAGCGAGGCTGATTGCTTCAAAGAGCAGACCATACGTTGGAATATTGGACTTGGTAAATACATATCCATTTATTTAGAATCATGTTTGAATTGGAAACAAAAAAAGAAAACATAGGAAAAATATCTAATTTAATTGGAAATTTAATCTAAACGAAAAATATAAATAATTATATAAATTAAATGATAAGTTGAATTTAATTACTTCAAAATAACTGATTTAATAAAAAAATATTGATAATTACAAACAAACTTACAACAAAGATGATGAAATAAAGAATATAAACAAAAAAACAAAAGATGATTAGACAAATTTGTCAAATGTTTTTTTATTAAAGCATCCACAATGATGAGTTCAATGAGTGAGTTGAATGAGATGACAAATTTATGTGTCAGTAGATGAAACTCGAAACTTTACCATTGTGAGATGTCATTTTGGCATTCAATGGATTTGGAGTTCAATGACCATTAAACTCTTCAATGGAAAAAACAAGATTTAATTTTTTAATATTTACTATAAATTACATTCTGTAACATTATATTAAACTTTGTAGAGTTCAATGCATTGTTGGAAAAAAAAATGATATAGTTATATAGGTTGTAAAAAAATGATGTGACAATCCATTAAACTCTATGAAATTCAATACATTGTTGATGCTCTTAATAGATAAAAGATAAAGGGTTTTTTCAGAAACGCCCTCAGTAATCGTCCGCATATGTCTCTACATATTGTTGTCTTGGCTTCATTGTTTCATCGTTTTTCAGTCGTAAGATTCATGCAAATTTTATACGGCGAATAATAAACTAATCGTAAGGTGATGAGTTGAGAATGATGCTTTAGTAATGGGTGTGTGATTCTAGCAAGTGAGCTTGCTATAGATGAAATGGAGAAGTAAAGACCTCGATATTTTGTATTTTTGTTTAGCTATATACTTGTCTATTATTTCAATAAATTAGAATATTAAAACAAAAAAACAAAGAAAGTGACCTATTAATTGTTTCTCTTTAATGAATTTTCTTATGATACGTTACAGATATTGTCGTTCTTTTTTTTAATAATTATATATTTTAGAGTTAATCCTAAATAAAATAACTTGCTGAAACATATTCTATAAAAATAAATTTTGGTTTTCCATAATTAAGATGTGTTTGGCACGGAGCGTTTGATAGCTTCTAGTTTTTAGCGTTTGACAAAACGTTCTGTTTTGAACAGAAATCATTGTTTGACACTACAAGTTTCTAGCGTTTAGTTTAAACAAAACGCTCCAAATTCAAATGTTACTTCATGAAGTGTTTAATAAAACGCAACAAGCTACAAACTACCTGTTACCAACTAATTTTGCCGAACACGCCCTTAATAGATAAGTAGTCAAACCGTTATATATATATATATATATATATATATATATATATATATATATATATATATATATATATATATATATATATATATATATATATATAGGCGGGATCAATGACAAACTCCATTGAAGGAGTGAACCAACGAACCGACCTAATTGAGAATTGTTTTAATCGTAATTGAGGTTAGACTAGGAAATCGTTTCAACTTCTGATTACTTGCAATTAAAGGAAAGAACCAACAAACATTATTAAATCATTGTTTGATTACAGAGATTGAAACCGTATTAATTTCAAGTAAACTTTTAAAAAAAATGTTATGCAAATGATTGATGCATTGCTTCTTTTTTCCTATTTGTTTCAAATTTAGTGCAAATTGACCAAATTTCATGACAAATATTTGAATATAGATTGTAATCATTGTGTATCTTGTTGGTTTATGTAGAAATCAGAGGTTGTTGCGGTTGAAAAAAACAGAGCAACTGGGGTGACGATGATCTGCACAGTACAGATGGAATTCAGCATATGTAATCTCAAGTTGAAGTAAATCAAGTTGACGATAATTGTATAATTTGCATAATATCATTCAGGAGCATATCTGAAACGAAAATAATCCATAAAAACTATGCATCTATTAAATTTATAGTTATAATAATAAATATGTAACAAAAGTTCTCTAACGTTAACTGATTTTTCATATGAAATATAAAATAAAAATGGAATTCAACATATGTATTCTCAAATTTGATTGTATAATGAAGTTGATAAGAGTTACCATTTACATTAAAATATCATTTTCATTTTCAAATCTTTCAGTTTATACATTGAATTTAGAAGCTTTGAATGTATACATCATACCTACTCTGGTAACTTGTTAATAAGATGTATTATTATAGTCTTGTTATGATATGGATTGGTAATCATTTGGATAATCTCAGGATAAAGTTAGTTGGTTGTAATATCACTTTTTGTTGGGTCATATGTCATGTGGATGATTTTACCCCTATAATAATCTTTTGTCGTGTAATGGTAATTTGGTGTAATTGTGATGTGGATTGCAGGTATATGAGAATAAATAAGTCCTTTTATAATTTGGTTATCTATAAATTATGTATTAACATGAGAATTTTACAAAGTTAAGAATTTTATATTCATTTATGTGTGTATGTTAATGTGATTGTATCTGAACGTATGTTGATTCAACATTACTATTTTAGCCAAAGGTGAATTGAAAGTTACATTGAGAAAAAGATTTTTTTGGTCATTTATGTTTTAAAATTTTCGTAAGGATTGATGATTAGATAAATGTTGTATGATGTGCTTGCTAGTTAATGTGAGGGTTAATCAAGGTGAAATGTTGTCTGGAATGAGACATTCTTGAGGCTTGAGCATAAGATTTGAAGTTAAAGAAAAAGTAGAATCATTGATTTAATTAGCAGCCTAGCTTAGTATACATAAATCTATGAATCTTATATTTTAATTAGTTTACTAGAATTGGTAGAATTTAGTGTTTAACGTTTGTTTGTGATATTTTGTTACTGATTGGAAATAGGGTTAATATACAATAATAGAGTCTAGACAATGTTGTAACGTCTTTTCATATTTTGGGTGGTAAAGCTCAGATATTCAAGTATTTCTTTCAAGATTATGTTGAATCCATAATACATATGCAAAATTTGCATTTTTTTTAAAACATACTTTGCAAATTTACATATTTTCCCATATCATTACAAGATGTATAACAACATACCTTGACCTCATTACACAAAGTAAGCCATCCGAGTCTCTAACATTGTTTATAGACTGAAGAACGACCTTAAGTAGGTCTCGAATACAAGCTTGGACATGAGGAGACAAATTTTGGAAAATATAAAATACATTTTTTAGGAAACTTCATTTTTTAAATATTATTTTCGAAATCACTACTATATGTTGGCAAAACTAATAAATATAAATAAAAAAATATTTTTTTTCTTTTTTACGAATATTTTCTATATAATTCGAAAATGATATTTGAAAAAAGATTTTTTTTTAAAATGCATTTCTGATGCATGTTCATATTTTTTTTTGTGTATATGCACATTTAAAAAAAACATGTGCATATGCATATGCACACAATCTTTTTTTTTTTTTT